TTTTTATTGATATAATTAGAATTTATTCTTAATTGTTTGATATTGAAAAATGTTACATATGGATGTATTTCATATCTCAAATATTTTTTTGTACAGATTTTTATTCATGCATATATGTAATTAGTGACTAACTCAAAACAAACCTAATCTTGTTCATTTCTGTCAGAATTCTTACCTTTCTTGTAACTTCAGTTCTTTTTGGTACATTAGCAAAACAATACTTAGTTACTGGATCATGTTGAATAATATTTATGTCTTGCAATAGATATAAAACTTATTTGATAAGAAGTAACACTTTCCAATGAAGGTATCAAGTTGTATCTTTGACATCCTTGTTTAATTTTATACTACTTGAATTTTTATATACTATTAATATTTAAGTCTAGAACTAGTTCTAAATTTTATAACACAATTTTACATGTATCTCAAAATTATAAAAATTACATATTTAATAATACTGTATTATGATCATTTTTATGTATTTATTAATGTAAATTTGAAAAAAAAATTCTCCTAATAAATTCAGTTTTTGAAATTTGAATTCTGAGAGAAAAATTTAAAAATCAAACCAATAATAATTGAATTAATTTTACTTTAAATACATGTAGGTTATTTAAAGTAGAACTTATATTTTCAGTTTGAAAATTTCAGATTTGAACCCACATGTATTATAAATTTCAGATCATCCGAATTTTGAATTCAAAACATGTTTAACCATCACATAATATTAGTATTGTAAGAAAACAAGCATGCATAATTATAATTCATGTATGCAATGAATCTGGTGGTGATAGAATTTATAATGTAAAAGTTTTTGTGTCACAAGATAAATTAAAACTTCTTTCACAATTTTTGTAATAGCATTTTTAGACAAATATATTTTTACGTTTAACTTGAGCAGAAGTGGTTAAATTACATTGATTTCCAATTTCGAGAAATTTATATAATTTAGTGGATGTGTCTTAGCTTCATTACTTTTCACCTCTAATATACTTGTTCACAATGTCTTTTGCTTATAGTTGTTTGTCGTTATATTTTGCACAACATGATGAACCAAGGGATATTTGTTAATATAAACTTACTAGCTAAATACCATGTTTTCAAATCAAGAACTTCTGAATTTGTTAAATATACCTTTTGACCAAATAATAGACTAAATGCTTTGTGTGTAATTTCTTCAGTTATTAGTAGTGTTTCTAAATCATGGTAGCCAAATTATTGTGCTGTTTTTGCAAATAATTTTTTATTTCTATTTTATATTTATTTTGTTCATGCACTCATACACAAATAGAAATTTGAAAAAATGGTGTATTTTACATCACACATTGATATTTTTTTCAGATTATTTGTGGACCAATGAGATGTATAATTTTATAGCTGTAAAAAAATCTTCAATCCTAAAAGAATTCAATTTTTATTTTGTAATTTTATTACATCCTACTCTCCATCTCATTGTTTTACAAAATAACAACACATAGTATATGCACAATTCCTTATGTTACTTTTCCTGCTAACCAATGAAAAGTCTATTTGTATTAACATTTAAGTTGTGAACCACTGTTTGCCCCTGCTCACATACTTTACAATGTTTCAGCCTTGTTAGTACAAAACACAGTGTAACAGAACCCTTTTACCATTCCATAGCAAAAATCAAATTGGGCTTCATTCTGGAACAAGCAATGTCTAACTTTTGAGTTAACTTTTTTTGTGTTTTTTGTAGATACCCAATGCTACTTCAATGGTTCCAGAAGGACAATAGGAGGAACAAAGCTATCTATGTTTAGTAATCCCATGTCACATGCCACATGGAGGACCTTCACACAGAAGCTGATTCCTCACAATGGAGAGACCCCCCCCTCCTTAAGATGGAACAAGCCCATGAGCCAAGACTCAATTCAGAATCAGAGCTGCTCTGTATTTAGACCAGGGCATCTGGCTGTTGAGGGTCTAATCTAAGAAAACAAAAGAGGAGGGAAAAATCTGTCCATGTGTATGTATGCACATGCTCGTTGAGCAATGTGATTTTGTGATTATAAAAATGAGCTAATCCTACAATAGTTAACTCTATCATTGGCTAATTATTCATCCATTTTAGCATAGAGTGGGGAATCCAATTGATCTCTTATCCTCAATGGTGGAAGACCAAAAATAAACCAAGGTTTTGAAACAATCATAAGAATAAACGAACTTTGAAATGAAAGTAGGGAAAAAATAACCGTATACATGTGGGCACACATTTAATATATAAAAGCTATGTCGGACACGAAGACTACAAGTTCAATCATGTTCCACTGAAGATCCAGTCACAGTGCTCAGTGAACCACGTTCCCATCTGCGGATGAACGATAATTTAACGGATGAATAAGGAACGATTATAACTTTTGCATCCATTGGATGAGGAAAAAAGCAGGAAGACCAGCTCTCTTCAACCCCTTTTACAGACGTGGCGATGAGCTTCTCATCCATCTTAAATGATGTTCAAGGGTGCACATATTTCATCCATCGTCTATCAGTCTTCGGCCCTCCAGGCACTAGTCAGCGACCAGTTCATTCGTTGAGCCATGCAGAGTAACAGTTCGTGGATGAGAACCTCACTGTTCCATTTGGATGAACGACGAGGACTGCTCCATTGACATGTCTTAAATTAGATGATAATTCTGGATGAGAGAGTACCTTCGTGCATCCATGTCAGTGGAGGAGGTGTGGGGGGGGGGTCTTGGGCTAGAAGTCTTGGAAGATGCCATCATGGAGGGGGGAGTCAACATGGAGGGAGGATCTTCACTCCACTTGCCCTGTTCTGCATAGAATCCTACTCACCTGTAGCCCACAAGACCCAATAGAAAGCATGTGTGCAGCTCAAAAGCATAAAGCAGCTTCCAGTTTGATGTTCACTTGTGCTTTGGTACTCATGCTTTGCAGCCCAATCTCACTCTCTATCCATATGCACATGTGCTAAGTAGCATCTTACGTTTATCCACAAAGGAAATATATTTTTATATATAAACATGTGCATAATGGAGGTCATGTGCCACTAAATCCTAATTTGCTACAAACTTGTGAATCCCAAACTTTGCTTGATTGGATGTCATCAATTGTAGACAAACTATCTCCAGTACTCATAAAATGGGGTTTTGAGTGAAGGAATAGCATGGTTTTGCTACATGACAAAGGATTGATATACTGTTAGTTTCAAGACAAGTTTGGTTTTCGGTTACTGATGGGAATTATATCAAATGTTTTGCTCACATCTCATATCAATCATGTACTTGTATCTCCTTTGTCTCTTGTAACATGAGTAGAATGTGATCATCATATTAAAAATAAAGAATAATAGTTTCTTAATGCATCACATAGTTTTTGTTGTGATGGATGTCTGATTTCTCTCATGATGTTTGTACATTTCAAGCTTCCTCTAGCATGGACATTGAAATAATGGGCTCCCTTGGTGCGCATAATGTGTGTATACCCTAAAAAGCAATAACAAAAAAAAAATAAAAAATTATAATGTTTTTTATCTTAAAATACACAAGTATTGGCTCTAAAAAGGATTACACAAAGTCCTCTTTTGTACTGCATATGGATATTTTTATGGAAGTTGATTTTGTTAAGGTTTCTATCCATATTGAAAGAGTAAAAGATACTTTGTCAAGAGATCCATTTATCATGTAGCAAATTGTATTGGTAAAGATTTTCTTAGCTGGTTATTCATTAACATGGAATTTGCTTGCTTTTAAAACATTCTTGTCGTACCTCAAATTTTTAAAACTATTTAAATTATTTTCTATTTATTCATTATTTTTCCTTATCACTGAAACAGAAAAAGATAATGGATCAGGGTAATTGTAACAATAAATTAAAACAAATTATTCATAAAAAGTATCCTTCCTCAAGTAGCTTCTCACCATATGTCATTTACTTGCTCAATAAGGGCCACTTTAGAACCATGCAAGTATTGGTAGAAAAAAAGAGTGCAAATCAATTCTGTGGGATAATGAATCAACTTCATCCATTAATCAACACCCATGTGAAACTCTTAACTTTGTCAAAACAAATCTGCAAGTAGGTAGCCTTGGTCAATGACTTGGACAAGCAGCCCCAGAACCCTCACCAACTCCAAAACCCAAAACTTACATTACTCAAACCCTAAAAAAACTTCAACAACCCCAAAGCCTGAAACCCTTGTACTTTAAAACTTGTGCACACCTTAAACCTTGGAACTCTAACAACCCTGTTCTTGTTGTGTGCTTTCAACCCTAAAAGTAGGGTTTAGGAACCCACCATGGCATGCCATTCCACCAAAAAGCAAAGGAGCAGCTGGTCCCTCAGCCACACAAAAAAGTAAAAGTTCATGTGGTGGACAAGCATCAAGCCCAGAAGCCATTGACTTTTTTTAAGGACTGAGCTTCACCTCATAAAGATTGTGTTCAGGGGGGGCTGGGTCCATGATGGATCATGCAGATAAAAGACAGAGTAAAAAATAAAAAAATAAGAAAGTAAATTGTATACAGTAAACAACACTACTTGAAGAATGTTTATACTAAGCAAACGAACAACAGTGTGGCTATTGGCAATTTTCTCCCCCGAAAGCAAAATACAGAAAAAGTAGCACAAAGAGTAACTATAATCACTTGAACATGAACGCTGCTACTTTAAAGCAGGATTCCCGAAATCAATCGCATTTAGGGAATTGAGAGTCCAGGTGACACATACCCCAACATTCTTCTTTCTTGGCTAAAGCTCGACCTGGTCCTATAAAAGTATTTATAAATTATTTTCATTCATTTATTTTTCCCTCCATCGCTTATCACACAAAAGCTAATCTCCAAAAAGACAACCCCCCCCCCCTAAAAGTGGAAACCGAAACGGAAAAAAAGCTTCAACGCCGCCAGGGCCCGAGAACGTTCTAGAGCCCCCCTCCGAGGCGGGGGACGCGAAACAGGCGCCGTTCATCGAAGAAAGGGGGAGGAGAGCATCGAGCCCATCAATCAACGTTTGACGACGACGACGATCGTTGTCCCATTCGTCCCATTGTCGTCGTCGTCGTCTTCAAAGTGGAACTCTAATCCTCCCGTTGTGGGAAAAGGGGGTCGCGTTTGTGGTGGTAGCGTAGGCGTAGCCGCGCAGGAGGTAGTCTACAGTTTGTTTAGTTGTAGTGAGTAGTGGAGTAGTGCTTTTGTTGTAGTTTTTTTGTGTAGTAGTTTGATTAGATTGTATATTTGTAGTCGTTAGACAGGAGTAGTAGAGGTTTGAAAGGGGGTAGGAGGTTGAGCCTGGAACGGCTCGGGGTGGATCAATATTCGCCGACATTACTGGGTTTCGGTATTTCTGTGCAGCGGTGGAAGGGATTCAGGTGAGGAGGGGGAGTTTGAGTGGGGGAGTGAGATAGGATTGTTGGAGTTGTGGTTGTGGGACGGAGGTGGCGGCGTGGAGGCGGTTTGCCGACGGATTTTTTGAGGGGTGTTGATAGAACTGAGGTGGCGTGGGTGATGCAGGCCGAAATGCTGATGGGAGTGGGGAGAAACGAGCATGCCTTCAAGAGGAGGAAGCGGGGCGATGCGCAGCGGTGCGGATTGGATTGGAGAGCATGCGGCGTGTGAAGAAGCGGAAGGTGTGAGAGGTGCATTGAAAAAAGAGCAATAATTTCGTTGGGTCGTTGGATTGGAGATGTCGGATACCTCGCCGAGGCCCGCTCTGCAATGGTACTGGGCTTGCAGAGAGGGATCTACGGGGCACTCATCGTCGCTTGGGGGAGTTCCTGAGGCGAGGGATGTCGCTGAGGATGTGGGACTAAGTGCAGATATTGCTGCCGGTGGGATTTCCGCGCTGCCAAACAGTAGTAGCAGTGGCAGCAGCTGTAGCGGGAGCAGCGTCCGCGGCGGCTGCACGCGCGAGGAGACTAAGGTGGCGGAGCTCGTGTTGGAGCAGCTGGATGAGCAATGGTTTCACGACAATGTCGTGAAGTGGCCATCGTCCAGGCTAGGATCGCCACCGGGTGTCATCGACAAGGACATGGGTTCACCCTTCCGATGCCGAGAGATTGCACCTGTGGTGTTGTCGACTACCCAAGGGGACGTAGCGAGTGGGACTGTTAAGCCGCGACTGCGGGTTGGAGAAAGGGCGCTGAACCCCTCACGCTCTCGACTAGAGATCCGGCGCCTGTCTGATGGAGAGCAGCATTTGAAGGGGTGTGTAGAGAGGGACCCGACTCGGAGACAGACCCTCGGTGGCGAGGTGAATCCCCGTCGGTTCGCAGATATCTCGAATGCGCAGCTCTCGAGCGTATCCCAAACGCTGACGAAGTCTGACACTGTCCATCAATTCAGGTATCCAAGTGAAGAAAACCCATTGCAGGATTTTCTTCCACTCCCTCAGCTACCTTCGGGTCCCTTGATGGGTGTTACGGAGGACGAGGAAATGGAGAACGACCTCTTTGAGAAGATTCTTGCCAACCGCCCTTCGAAGCTGTCCACCATCAATCCCGGACGTCTTTCTCGAGGCCCTTTGCAGGAGAACTCGAGCAATAACAGTGATCAATTACCGATTAAGCACGCTCCGAAGGCTGTTCGGCGGCGGAGGTTGAAGGGCACTAAGAGCCTGACCGACTTGGAGTACGAGGAGCTCCGAGGGTTGAAGGATCTCGGATTCGAGGTCAGCAAAGACGACCTCACACCACCCGTGGTGAGAATGTTCCCAGGTTTGCAACGACAGGGCATTCCTCCATACAACTCTCCCCAAAGCCAAAGCCAGGCCTCGGTCCAAAATACGCACCCAAACCAAAACGTTCTGTCGCAGAGCCGGTTTACTCCCGTTCAGCACCTGCTCTGGCCGCGGCGCCCAGACTCCCCGCTTATTAACACCCCGTTCCTTGATCCCAGCATTGACATGAAGGGCCAGCTCAAAACGTGGGCTAGCGAAATGGCGTCGATTGTTAGCACCGAGTGCTAGCAATCACAGAGAACCGTTACAAGGAAACCTCAAGGAGAGGAGCTGTGATTTCGGCTGATTGCAGGAAGAGTGAGAGAAAGAATGAGAAGGTCTGGTTCGAGTGTGACGAAGCCTAGACTTGTGTGGCTTCCATGATGTTAGTGAAGGCACATGCGGGGAACGATGGAGAGTCTGCTTCCCAGTGATTCCATCAAATTAATTGCAGTTAGGGACCGAAAACTCGGTTGCGTAGCGTGAAGAGCAATTGTCGAGCTTCAAGATTTTGCTCTTGGATTCTGTAAGACTGTCTATATCAGTTCAAAGTTTTCTGGATATGTAGCGTAAGAAGGGGATTTGAATGTGAACTAGGAGACACTCGAGATACTACAATAAGAGAAACATGCTTCTGACTTAACTGAACGATTATTTTATTTATTTTTTATTTTAAAGATAGGACTGCCTCTCAAGTTGTGCGGGACTGACGGGACAGTTGTAGTTCAAATTAAGGTGATGAACTCGTAGCGTTTTTTCCTGGTTGAACAGTAGTGGTGGAATTCTCAAGTGGGAGTAGAGGTGCTAGGCTGAATAGAATCATCTACCTTCAAAGTGCTTGTACATCATTTGCAGTGTCCCTCCCCTATTTTACTTCGTCTATTATTTCAACCGGCAAGGGCGACCAGCTTTGGGTGTTTCAAACCATTAGGTTTAGAATGTCAGTGCCCTCTGCGGTATTATTGGGTTTATGTATAGTTTCTAAACCGTGAAGCTGTTGCTCTTTTGTATAGCAGTGGATCATTTAAGGTCTGCGAAAGTAACGTTTCGTCGACTTATGTTGAGATTGATTTTGATAGTAACCAGCGTCTAGGAATAACGTCCATTGCTACCATAGACTTAAGGTTCTGCTGATGGTGAGATTTACATGCTGGACTAGTTTTATGAAACAGCAGCAGCAGCAGCAGCAAGGAGCACAGTTTGTAAGAACTCACAGAAACTCTCAACATTGGGAAGAGTTAGTACTCGCTGGGAGGATCATTTGGTCGAGAACTCGAGTACTGACCTTCTGTTTATTTTTGCTCATTTCGGCTTCATGTGTTTTGTTTTCTTAAGGTCACCTGATCTGATTAATGCACAAAAAGGCTTGTCGATGGTTTATAAATGGGCAGTCTCTGGACAATTTTGTTTTGTGAACTAGAAATTTTCCTTACCTTGGATTGATTGCCCGGAAGCAGGGGGATAGGAGAGTTAAGATGAGCATCTCATAACAGGTGGTTAGTTTCCTCTGATGCATGCGAGAGAAACCTGGCCACTACCTCCAGTTTATCAGCCATCAAGTCTCCTGTAGTCTCTCACACACAGTTAGGCTGTGGTTCATTTGCTGTAGCTTTGATAATTCGGGTGGACTTGTTCTGAATGCGACGAATCTTCTAGTGCACCATAGTTCTAGCCTGTACAGGTCACATCCTGAACATAAACATACTTGCATACTTAATTCTGTGCACCATAGCTCTAGCCTGTAATGTAACATAAGCTAGAGAAGATAACTTCACATATTATGCATCCCTTTCATTGCAGAATAGTCTCCAGATTGAGTTGGAGTATGTGCAACCGAGGTTACTGATTTCATACCGTTTCATGGCACTGTACCTGATGTTCAAGGCACAAGCTATTCAATATAAACACCACTCGATCATTCTTTCAACTCGTCTATGTGCTTATTGATTGTGTTCGAAACCTGTTCGCACATGTAGAAGATGCCGACATGGGTGGGGCATGAAGCTTGCTCTGAGGTTGGGGTATCTGATTGGGGGTCAACATTCCAGTCTCGCTGATCGCTTACCAAAGTAACCACCTGGTTGTTCCTTTGTGCTTGATTTATGATTCCCCTTCGATGTCTTGACAAATCGTCTTTTTCCATTCTTTTTTCCTTTCATGGCTGCTCAACGGCGAAGCTCGAAAGGTGGCAGTGATGTAAAAGCATGAGCCTTTTATCCTGTAAAGCAGCTGGTGTGACAGAATTCTTGTCTCTGCCAGCCAGTTTTCCGATTGCTACCTATTGTCTTATTGGCAAAAAAAATTAATAAAAAAGATAAAAAGATGAAATTCTTCCTCGTTGAACGACAACTTTTTTGGAATTCTTCACAATGACTTACAACGCGTTTAATAACCTTAATGTGCTTGAAATTCAATCAGCATGTGGTTTTGGCTGATGACAAGAAGCATGGTTTATACGCTGTTTTAATTTTGGTGATCCTCGACCTTTTGAGCACATTTATGAACTGACTTGATTGTGTTATGTACGAATTTGAGGTTTTGTAGATGAGATGTCAACGAATTAGTTGTGAGAATGAGAAGTTTTGGACCTTGTTGTAAGTAAAAAAATGCAAGGAACACCATTGTACTGTCTTTGCACCAAAAATATAACTTGAAATGCATGGAAATGAGTGTTAAATGTTTTAGTAGGACAGGTTTAGTCCCAAATCGAGACTGTACTTGATATATTAAAGATTTAATGATAATAGAATATTTATTATTTATCCCTTTCCTCATAGAGATGTTTGTGTATATGTATGTAGACATATATGCATGCATTTATATTATAAAATTTTCTTATATTAACTTCAAAAATTTATCTTTTATAAAATTTGAATGTTTGAATATTTTAAAATTATTTTTGAAATAAATAGTATCTTGTCAAGTAATAATTTACTTGAGAATAAGTACATGCAACTATCTCTTACAACTTTAGCCTAAAAGAACTATTACTCAAAATGTTTGCATGGGTTGTTTTAAAAAGATGTTCATATTATAATACATGAAATGAAATTTATACAAACAAAGTATAGCATGAAATCTTGAATGAGACATAATTTTATTACACCAAAATATTTTTTATTAAAATCATTGTATATTGATCAATTAAGTCATAGCTTATTAATTCATATGTTTTATAAAGAGTTAAGAAATAATATATTTCATAGATAAATAATATATATATATATAACATCAATACTACTTAAATTTAGATTAAATAATTACATTCAAACCATAAAAAACTTTTATATAATACCATACTATTACATTTGTGTATTTTCTTTATTTTTTTTTTTAATATTTATATAAATTAAATTAATGCATTTAATCTTAATAAAATACACACTTTGGTATACCTCAATGAATCTTGTTATATTATTAAAGATACAACTTCATATCTCAATACATGTAGATAAGTTTGTGCAAAAAGTTTAGAAAGTCTATATACAAATATTACAAAATATAAATTGAAAAATTGAATATAAATATAAATATAAAATTAAAATATAAAACTGAGAAGAATAAAAATAACCTCAATTTGTTTTGTATGTGAATCATTTATTTATTCGATTTATAATATGTAAAATTTAAAAACTGTATTTAATAAAGCTCCTGATTTTCCATAATTATGATCAATTCAATTTGAAACTTCAGAATACAAATTATTGATTAAATATATAAATTAACAATCTTGTGATATATAAATAAATATCAAAATTTAAGTTTTAAAGATAAGATAATTTAGTAGTAATATTATAATGTAGATAAGAATTTTAAATATATCTATCTATCTATCTATCTATCTATCTATCCTAGATTGAGAAGAATAATAAAAAAGTCATAAATTGATTTTTTTATTTTTATTTTTTCCATAATACTTGCAAGAAGATCCAATTTGTACTTCAGCTCATGATAGTTTTTTGCTCAAGCAGCTAAGGAATCTTTTCGGGTAAGACAACTTAACCCAATTTCCAAAAGAAATTATATACATTCTTTGAAAGGCTCAACATTGTTATTAAGGAGTTCAAAATATTCCAAATATATAACAAAAATTAAAGTGAAAAAGTAATATTGTTTACCAAACATCTAACAAATATCTTATTTATAATTTCAAATTATTTCTCATGTAACATAAACTATATTATCATAATACTTATATTGTTAAGATGTTTTACGTGAAAATTTTCTTCAGAAGAATTATTTCATCCTTTTAATAACTCAAAACATCGAGGAAATTAATTAATTTTTATTATCAGTATTATTCTTGTTTTTTACAAATAGTATTGGTCTCTCCCCTCACACTAGTTCCATAGACCAGGAAGGATGTCCAATGACTGACGATTCTACCTATCCATCCATCCATCCATAAAAGATCAACAGCCAGCCAGCCAGCCAGCCAGCCATCCATCCATCCATAAAAGATCAACAGCCAGCCAGCCAGCCAGCCAGCCATCCATCCATCCATCCATCCATAAAAGATCAACAGCCAGCCAGCCAGCCAGCCAGCCATCCATCCATCCATCCAGCCATCCATCCATAAAAGATGAACATCCATCCATACAATGGACTACATCCACCCATATGATGGACTACATCCATCCATAAAATTCATCCTCCACAATTCAGGTTTCATCCTATTGTCCACATTCATCCATAAATTTCGGGCAGGGAGGGTGCCAGAGCCTTGTCGTCCAGTGGCGGTGACGTCCGTGTTCGTTGTCGTCTGGCTGCCGCAGCGGTTGAGGTCGATTAGCAGGTAATCTTGCGCAGTTCGTTTCTGCGTTTTTTTAGCTTGTTTTTGTTGCGTGGTGGTATAGAGACTTGCTCATTTCACTTATTTTGTTGCTGCGTGGTTGGGCATTGCGGTTTTTAGCATTGTATTGTTGGATGGAGTGCTGTGCGTAGTCTTGTTGGTTGCATTTTCGACTATGGCTGTTTATTTTTTTTTAGGGGTTGTTATTCTTGTGAGCGTTTTAAAACCTCCGATTCAGTATCGTAGATGGCAGAATTGAATTGGAGATGAAGTTATTCGTTCTGAGTTTTTTGAATTAAGTTTACCGAGAGGGGGGGAAGAGCGCAGAGCATTCCACATGGAAGGTTTAGTTCGAGGTTCGTTCACCTTTCTACTGCTGCGATGACTTTGACGGGGAGGTGCGTGTTTGAGTGCCATTGATAAATTGCACTCGAATTGAGTTTTTTTTCTTGTGGTAGGAAATTTGAGTGTCATTGGTATGCTTCCATTGTGATTGTTGGCATGGTTGTCAGCAGTTTTTGACTTTGTAAATTATTGAAGTTCTCAGATTCCAGCACAGTTAGCAATTTTCGTTCCCTACTAAGGATATAATTTCCTGATTCCAATTTTATTTGTTCTAACTCAGAAAATCTTACTCTGGAGAGCGTCTGATATTTTACAATTTTTAAGTTACATTTGAAATGCAACCTGTAGAGCATTTGAACCTGATTGATCCCTCGTTATGTCGTCATGTTTGACTTGGCGTGATCGAGACCGATCGACGGTATCAAATCGACACCATCATGGTGAGCATGGATGCTCAATCCGTAAGGCCAAGGGCACAGTGCATTACAGATTGCTTAGTAGAGGTAGTGCAGAACGTAGCGATAATCACTATCGTTCGCATCGGAGTCGAAGTACCAGTCAGGATTGGCGAGGAGGGAGGGACGAGCAGAGTCGGTCTCCAGTTCAGTCACCTGTTCATCGAAGGTCAAGAAATGTGAGTCGTGATTGGAAGGACGCAGTCACTAGCCGGTGTAGGAGCCGTGAGAAGTTGATGAGTGATGAACACGGATGCCGAAGTCACAGTAGGGATCGCAAGAGGAGGCTTGATCGGAAGGAGACGGACGATAGCCATAGTCAAGAGAAAAAGGAGGAGGAAATCCAGAGGGAAAAGAGTAAGGGAGTTGAGAAGGAAAAAGAATTCAGTAAATCTAAGGAGAATTTTGGTAGCAATCAAATAATTGAGGACGACCAGGTTTTTCCTGTAGATGGCGGCAGGCCGAATCCAAGAATTCAAGAGAATAACAGAAAGCCTGAGGTTAGTTCGGACTTTTCGTAGGTTGGATCTTTGCAACATGCCCTTAAAATTTCTCTAATCAAAAAGAGTGGCTAGCTAGTCTTGGAATATGGCACCATTGTCAGTAACAATGTAGTTATCACGTATTTGTGAGGTTGAGACTTGATTGACCTTTGAAGTTAGTCGCAGCCCCTATCATTGGAAGGCTTTTTGAAGAAGTGCAAGGAGGATTCAGTGCAGCAGGCAAAGGTATACTCATAACGTTTTACCATTTTGAGTATGTTTAAGTGGATTTGGCTACCATAAAATTCGATATTGCAAATTTTAGCTTCTGAAACGTTATGATATTTTCAAGCCTCCATGTAAGAATTTTTAATTTTTACATGATAGATCTTTAGCAATAAATGCTATTTTTCTGGTGACGAATTGTCACATGTGGGAATAAAACGATGCTTCTTTCAAGATATCGGCAAGTATAGATCCTCTTTGTGGAGTTCAGTATGCGTGGCGTTATAGCTCCTTGTATATCCGGAAGCTGGGCAAAAACTGGAAATCTTTTGACCTAGTAAATATGTGATAATTTGGACTTAAGCTATTGAACTTAAAATGCTCTGTTCGTATTAGTTTGAACATTTGATGTCTTCCACAGATAGTTTTACCACTTTATCTGAAGCTTGATGAACACGGAATTTCTAGGAGTAATGTTTCCAACAATGCTGCATGCGCAGATGCGATTTGGATTCTTATTTTGTAGAAAGTATTGAGCCTGTAATGCGAGGGGTAATGTACTTATGTGACAATGAAATTCTCGGGAAAAATTTATATGGAAGTCTAGGTTTAAACTCTTAGACCATGACACGAAAGCGGAGTCGGTCTGCTTCTTAAGCACAGGTTGGTGCAAAGTTTTAGAATCCGAATTCTGGATTTCTTGAGTTCTGTAGGTGTGTTTGGATGTCGATTTTATTTACTGCTGTAAGACCCTGACAGAAATTTTTGGTTTCAAGGTGTTGAGCAAGTGTACCCCTCTACGTCTCATGTCAGGCTTTTGCCTTCTCACGTTTTTCTCTTCTGCCTTACCAAGACGGGTTTGTGGTTACAGCCAGTGTTTTTGACAAAGGCGCAGAGAGTAGAGATCGCATTGAAACGTCGACGTGAAGAAGCAGCTGAACAGCTGAAAAGGTATTTTTTATGTGGATCTGTGCTACTATACTCCTTCCGCACTATCCTTGCTTCAATCTCGATTTCCGCCTCTTTCTGAGCATATATGGCACTGACTTAAGCCAGATATGGTGCACAGTAGTACGTGCTGGTCAATTTGCTGAATTGGCAATCTCAGTGATATGCATGCAGGAATGAGGAGTCTTGTAAGCTTTTGATGGGGACTGAAAGTAAAAGCAAGAGTCATGAAGGTTGGTCTTTGTATTCCATTGATAGCTTCCTTTTGTACCTTAGCTTTTCTCAGTACGTGTTTACAACTAATTCTTGGAAAGATCCAAAGAGTCTTTCATGAATTGATAGCATCATAGAGTAACCATGAGCATCGTATGTACTTGAAACCCTCATACTCATTATTGGCATATAGTGTGTTCATCGGTGGTTCTGCATAGTTAATTGCAGATAGAGATCAACCTCGCGAAAAATCACGTGAAAGGGGTCGTGATCATGACCACGAAATTCGCCAGGCTCGCGAACAGGAGCGTGATCGTGACCGTCGAGAAAGGGAAAGAGAGCGCGAGGAAGAGATAAAACAACGTGAGAAGGAACGCTTACAGAAACAGGCACAACGTGAGCATGAAAAGGAACTAGAGCTGATTAAGGAACAAGTAGGTACTTCTTTCGATTTTCTTATTAAAATTGTACAACTTGTCAGTAAAAGTTTTTTGCTTTGATCTTGAACGGAAAATCAGTGAGATTGTCATATCAATCAAGCATGCTCAATTCTTGCGCTTATTTTACAACATGTCCAAAATTGAAGTTTTACGTTCCAAATCAGGTTGTATCTTTTGGGTGTAATCTCAGGGAGTTATCCTTATTGTTACTGGAGTTTTGTGGGTGCAGTATTTAGGTGCCAAGAAGTTCAAGAAGCGAGTGGTCAAGCCAAGTGAAAAGTTCCGCTTTTCCTTTGATTGGGAGAGCACGGAAGATACTTCAAGAGACATGAATCCAATGTGATTAGTCCTTCTTTTACCGTTCTTTGTTCAAATACGAAGAAGTCTAGAATATATGTCATGTTCAGAAAGAACTCAGCTAGCTAGAGTCATAGTGAAAGGCATTGAATGCTGTCAGAGTTTTGGTGGGGGCTTGGAATTGCGAGTTCGACTTGTTTTTTATGTCTACAATAGTATATTCACACATACAATGAGTGATTTTGAAGGTCATTTTGCAAAATATTGCGACGAAGACGTCTAATTTCAATTGCAACGCAGATATCAAAACCCACATGAAGCTCAGCTTCTATTCGGTCGAGGTTTTCGAGCAGGCATGGATCGGCGTGAACAAAAGAAGGTTCAGTTAATTTCCCTCCTTGATTTGTGGTGGTGATGAGGTTTGGTGCGCTCTCATTTTTTAAATTTTCTTTTAAAGTTTTTGAATGACATTCTCTAACTCAGATGGTTGTGGGTTCCAGCTGGCAACCAAGAATGTAAATGATTTGAGGAAAGAAATTCGGGTAATCAAAACCTTAGAATTTCTTGTTCTTGGGAAACCTTAATTTGATCATTTTCATTTACCAGGATTTGGAGCTCCAGAATATACAGAACGGAAATCCTCGAACATGGACTGCTCAAGAGTCTTATCTGGATGATCTGGGGCTTAAAACTCTGTACTGAAATGTATTTGGCAATGTTAAGTAACCTGAGGCATTTGTATTTTTGACATTTGTTACGAGGTTGCATTACACAGAATTTATAATGAGGTAGTGCACAGTTATACTGTTGCCTAAACTTCACACTAGGATGAACAAAAAATCCAGTGATATCAACAATTGACTGTTTATCACTCTGCAATACTGTCCCCCGTACTTTTTTTGAGTTATTTTCAATGTTTCTGTTCCATCCTTTAGCTGTTGGTCCTAGAGATTTAGTCCACTACATGTAATGTTGTGCTCTACATAATAGATGAATGCTCCTTACATTCTTTGACTCGGGGAACAGCTTAAAAATGGAATCGAGGAGATGCCAGAGGAAAATGTTGCACAGAAGCAGGAGGATGTAGCAAATCTGTATGACGCATTTGATATGCGTGTTGATCGTCATTGGTCTGAAAAGAAGGTAGTATGTCCTCCCTTTCAACCAACACGTCTCCATTTTTTTGACGATGAAGATAGTATTACCTAACGTTGGAATGCACCGTATTCCGGTTAGTAACTATCTAATTTCATGCTCTAAAATTAGCATTTGATTGACATATTGCGAGGCATATAATCTTAATTTGTCATGGGGTTGACTTATTGTATTGGCTTTATGTAGGTTGAGGATATGACGGAGAGAGATTGGCGAATTTTCCGAGAGGACTACAACATTTCGAACAAGGTGAGCTGGTGTTCAGTAGTGTCGATGATTTTGGATCTTCATGATTGAGTTGTTAAGGCCTCTGTGTGCAGTTAGAAGTCTATGTACTATGTTATGGCTCGTTTCAAGGTCTGCCTAGTTGGGATCTTGAGATAAATAATTTCATTCAATTTGCAAGTTGAGGAATGGGTTCATGATTTTTTTGGAGGTTGGTCCACCTTTCGATACATAGGGTTCACGCATCCCAAGACCAATGCGAAACTGGGCGGAGGGTGATCTTAGCCAAGAGCTATTAAGAGCTGTGGAAAAAGTTGGATACACAAAACCGTCACCTATTCAGATGGCTGCCATACCTATTGGACTTCAGCAACGTGATGTCATTGGTATAGCCGAAACTGGTACTTGCAACTGCCTTCAATACCTTGCATATCGGTGAATGATAATATTATGTTGTAACTTTGCCTACGTACATCATTTCCTTATATCAAATGAATTTGCAGTAGGTGTCGTTCCACTCAAGAATTGTGATATTGCAGTAAGCGCTGACAATTTTAATTCTGATATAAGAAATTCTAATTCGTCTTTAAGACGTGAAGTTTCTTAGACATTGCCTAAGTATTCTTTTTCAGAGGCGAACTCTGCAATTCATGTAGGTGAATGAAATGTATCATTAATTTGATATTCCTAATCCAGGTTCTGGGAAGACAGCAGCATTTGTATTGCCCATGCTCACCTACATTTCTAAGCTTCCTCCAATGACAGATGATATTGAAGCAGAAGGTCCATCTTTTTCCATAAAATATTCTTTCATATCATCTCGTCACTGCTTTTCTGGATTCACTTGGAAAGAGTTGTAAGCAGATTTATGTTTCTACTTCATTTTTACATTGCTAGAGTGAGGTGTCTCTTTTCTGCGATTTCCTCTGGCTTTGTCCTCGAGGATGCAGTTGTATTTTCTGCTTATTGTTAACACATTGTACTGTCAATTCTTCTCTAGACTTGACAAGAAAATGTAATTGATTTTTTTTTTTAGGGCCCTATGCGGTGGTCATGGCGCCTACTAGAGAGCTGGCACAACAGATTGAAGATGAGACTGTCAAATTCGCACATTTTCTTGTGTGTATACTAAGCACCCTGTGTTGCTGCTGGACAGCTATACGTCGCTATTATGTACTACTTTAAGAATCGTTTTTAACTTGCTGAGGCTCTCGCGCAAATTTCTTTCAATCTGTTGCATTTTTGGAGGTATTTTGATTTCTCTGAAGTTTGTTATAATATGACTGATGGCCAAGTCGTATAATCATTTAATCCTTTCAAAAAACTCATTGTTTCCGTCCTGACTTCAGGACATCCGTGTTGTGTCGATTGTCGGAGGTCAATCCATTGAAGAACAAGGCTTTAAGTTGAGACAAGCAGGGTAGTGATGCTATAAGCTATTTGACCTATTCCTCTACTTTTTAATTTTCTTAATAAAAAGTATTCAAGTCAAAAAACATTCTGGGCTATGAAGTGATCATATATGTACAAGGCTTGGAATTACTCGAATTCATGAAGTGTATCAGGAGTGGGCCGTATTTTTGCTCTTTTTGAAGTCACCTTATGGATTGGTCAATAATAAGCAATCGCAACGTTGCAGTTCACACTCACATTTCTGACATTGTATCACAATGTATTTTTAGTACCTGCATGCTTACATACATACATGTACATCGCGTCTTCGAGAACGTTATAGCTTTGTGATGATATATGAGTGTTTGATGGACAGGGATGTGAGATTGTTATAGCATTTCCTGGAAGGCTTCTTGACTGTTTGGAAAGGAGGTTTGTGTAAAAGCGGGCAGCTGTAATTTGGTTTCTATGATAAACATTCTCTTTGGTAACTTCATCTCACAGGCTGTCCGGAGCATTATGTTCTCTTCATTCGCTTCTCACGAGTTGTTCGTGAGTATCTAAAAGAAAACTACTTTATGGGGTTTTTTCGCAGATATGCTGTTCTTAACCAGTGCAATTATGTAGTATTAGACGAAGCTGATCGAATGATTGACCTGGGCTTTGAACCTCAGGTAAGGGTATGAAGCGTTGGAGTTTTTTCCTATTCTTAGAAATCGATTATTTCACCTCTGACTTCTTTTCTAGTCTAGATCGAAACTCTGAAAACTTAAGTTATGGTGTCAGGGATGTTAGTCAAATGTTTCTTGGCCTTGTAATAATTTCTTGAGAGTCGAAAGGATGCTAAAATACTGCTTAATCCTGTTCCAGAGCAGTAGACGGTATTCTGGAGCACTTTTTATTGACTTGATCTTTTTACGCAAGTTGGGAGAAGTACATCGGGACCTGTCTCTCTTTTATCTTGCTGCTCTTTTCTCGGCAGTAGCATATATATCTGGTATTTAATTAAGCTGCCATCATCGCAGGTGATGGGAGTTTTGGATGCAATGCCTTCCAGTAATCTGAAACCGGAAAATGAAGATGCTGTGAGAGCTTTCGCTTTGTTTTTTATTTTATTTCTTTGCATCTGTTTGCAATGGTTTTGTCGCAGTGTCACTTTGATTTCAGATGACAAGTGACCTAATAATGATTGCCTTTCTTGCAACTCAGGAACTTGATACTCAGAAGATTTATAGAACAACTTACATGTTTAGTGCAACTGTGCCACTTGCACTGGAGCGTTTGGCCCGAAAGTATCTACGTAATCCTGTTGTGGTGAGCTTTGAACACCGTTCTTGACAGTACCACTCACTTCTCCCCACGTCAAGACTCCTAGCTTGCTGGTTCCATCTCATTGCACCCCATCTCATCTTTGTCAAGTCACTTCTAACGACTAATTATCTGTTTATGTTTCTGTTTTAGACAATTTGTCACAGTCGACTTACATGAAATAACTTTGTTGCCTTCGGGTGATCTTTTCTTTATCTTTTTGTAGGTAACAATCGGAATGGCTGGCAAGGCAACAGACCTTATCACACAGCATGTGATGATGGTCAAAGAATGCGAAAAATTGGAAAAGTAAGTTGAGAAGTAGAATAACTCTTTTTGGACTGGTTTCAGCCATAAGTGAGATATTTTATGATAAGTAACTTGTGAGGTATTAACGATGTTGGATTTCAATTATACTTGAAAAATTTCTGGAACATCTTTCTTTGGAACATATTTATACAACTGATAAATCAATGAGTAGGAATATGATCATTCAATGAATTCGATGAGTTTTGATATGTTCGATCATTGTAACGTTGTTTCAAAGTTACATTGTAATTTTGCAACTTTGATATGTCGGATCATTGATCATGGTAACTTATATATGTTTCAATGTTTCGATGAATCTTTGTGTTATTTGATCCTAAGTCGAAAAGTGGAGATGTTTGCCTTATAAAAATTCTTTAAGTATTGTTTACAAGACGATTGGTGCCCAGTCACATCTTTTCTAAACTAGACATAGCTAGATGTACGCTTGGGGTCAAAGTTCGATGGTTTTGATATCAGAAATCTGCAAGATGCACTTGCCTAACTCTGCACCTAGCTAGGGCTTCTTCTCAATGTTTTCGGTGCAACGCATTTCAGGCACGATACCAGACCGTCCTCCAAGAAGAAATGACACCGTCTTTGCCCACTAGCATCAGGAGAAAGGTGAAACACCGTCTGATGACTGCTTTACATCATTCATACCTGGGTGCTTAGCATATAGAGGAACCACCCAGAAAGACAGCTTCGTTCGAAGTGAAGGTCCCTTCTCCTCGTAAATACGAATTCGACCAGAGTTTTGTGGTCGTGTTGGAAATTTATGTAAGTAATGATGACAAACTCCAAGTAAACTTATCTACAGCTTCTTCTACAATCTTATTCGCACTGTGGATCTCTGGTTGGTCAGCTCAGTGCATGCAGATGTCAAAAGATGTTTTGCTCGTCGTTCCGGCCATCCACAACACCAACCTCTAGCTTCACATATTTCCGAGGTCCTACCTATCAACCTGCTCTAGTACAGACTGATAACCAGAAGTGCAAGAAATCTGAAGCCTGTAATCAAAAAATGAAGAAAACAGAACAAAACAACAGGGGAGAGCATAACCAAACATACATTAGCGAGAGAGAGAGAGAGAGTAAGAGAAAGAGTCATAAGACCTTACAAACAGCGATGGCATACAGAAGAATCCAAAGGGCCTCCTTAATTGTTTGAAAATGGCAGATGTGAGACAGGAGTCTGATAGAAGACTCGGTTTGAGAACAGAGAAAGCTACTAATGATAAAGATGCGGCAAAGGAAACTCAACAGAACACTTCTGTGGAGCGCGCATCCAGGAAATCCATTTCATAGTCCATTCCTACATTCGGTACCACGTTTGCCTCCTACGCGGGCACTGTAAAGTCCCAACAAAACCCATCAATAGGGTTAATGGTGAGCAGAACTATCGTGAGGCTTGTTGTTCTTATCTCCGAAAGCTTGTCGCTCCCTTTCCTTGTTGATAGCATTCATCCGAGAGTACTGCGAAGGGAGACACGAGGTTAACTGACAGAATGCATCAACCGCATCCGACGTTTCACAAAAGTGGGTGTACATGCATCCCGATGATGAACATGAAGAGGGAGCACAAAAAACCCTAATTCCTCGTTTCTTTCCTCCAGGTTAGGCAATTGATTGCTTTCCCCAAACCTCCTAGATTCGATACGAAGTGCCGTAGCAACCATTCTACAGCGCAGAAATACGCAATTCCACGATCGACACTCTAGAGCTGACGTATTTCACAAGCAGACCTAATACAGCTCTTTCAATTTGAAAAATATACGATCGGACTAGTGAGGAATTTTGCATCTCAGAAAGCCACGCACGCATTCTCCACGGCACCGGGTGTACCCAGAGGCTCTAATCGTATCTAATAGAGGAAGGTGGTGAAACGAAGGGATGGCGCACCTCTTTGCGGTGGTGGAGACACTCGAAGTAATCGTCACGGCGGGAGGTGCATTCAGCTGGCATGGAGCAGTGCGACATGCAGTCGCTGAAATCCATCCACACGTCGTAGCATCGGCCCTTCTTCCCCGTCACGCCGAATCCCGACGCCATAGCCACAAAACCCTAGGAAATGTCACAAACAAGGAAGCAAGCAAACAAGTGAGGGGAACGAAAGGGACAAGAGCACAACTTCCGCTGATGCTCACCAAAAGGCACATAGGTCGGAGGTTGGGATTGTTGGTTTTAGGGCTCCTCTTGGGGGACTCTCAATGAACGAATGTATGAATGATTAAATTTCTTATTCTATGTCTTTCTTAAAGCAAAATGTTCCTGAAATTCATTCATACTCTAAAATTAATGTATTTATATAACCAATGTATACATAAAAATAGAAGTGACATATATACTTAGTTTGATATTGCTTAATTAAATCATTGTATTAAATGCATTGGATTAGATAAAATTATTCAATTAAAAATATAATCTCAAAAACATAGGTATTAATTTGGCTTTAATGCAATTGAATTTGATGTCAACTTACTTTGATAGTTAAATCTTATTTAGTGTTTTTAATTCTTTAAATAATGAAAGTCAAGGTGTTTTTTGTTTAAGTGCTTGTTATATTTAGTAATAAAAACCATGAAATTATATATCAAATCCTTCAAACAATAATTTTTATTATATTTAAAAATTATAATTTTTATGTTATAACATGTACAAACAACTTAAATATTAAGTTTTATATATTTTATAAAAAAATTATTATTTTTTATATACAAAAGAAGTGATTATATAAGATTTAACTATAACTTATAATTTTTGATTGATTTAATATAATACTTATTTTATATAAAAATATTAAAAATAATCAATATTTGTAATTGATGCAAAATATTACTTAAGTAAATATGAATAAATAAGAGTATGTAATAACATATTAAGTAATAATATATTTTTAAAGAAATACTGAAAAAATCTATAAATGCATATTGAATCTTTTGATTTAAAAAAATATGTCATATGGTTATTGAAACTTTTTCTATAATTTTTATATTTTTAAAAAGATTTTTTTAGAAATAATCCATAATTTAGATATTTAGACAATAAATCTTATGGTAATTATAAAAATTTTATAAGACCTTTTTTATAGTTGATATATGAATCAATTTACATGACCTCAATCTCAAAAAAATTCTAGTGTGAGTTAAGTTTTGCTTGGATAAGAAACAAAGTGCAGCAATTGACTCTCTTTAAGAATCTCAATCTAAAGAGTATTTCAAAAATCAAAAATCTCATTTTATATGACTGGCTAACACTGACATAGACATTTATTCCAATAGTTACTTATATGATTAGGTAGATAAATATAAATAAATTTCATAATATTGTCTAGATAAGCTTCTTAGAAGCTTTATAGATGCAGTTTTGACTTTACATGTGATTGTAGCTGATTTGTAGGTTAAAAACTTGGTCAACAAGTTAACCACATACCACATGTTGTCATATGGCATGATTTTTTATCTAAAAAAACACCGGGTATCTAGTTGTAGAGAGTTTAGCTTTAACTTATTAGACAAGTTTCAATAAGTCATGTATTGTAATTATAGAGACCAAATAAATATAATAATATCAAAAGATAAATTATTGATAAAATCCTTTTATATTTAAGAAGCTTTATATGTAAGACTTTCTAAAGCATCTAAAAATGCCCTAACATCCTTTGTTATACCAAGTCATAACTAACTATTTGCTGGTAAGTTTGATTTTCCATATGCTCAAAGAAAATCTATAATCCTCTTGTAAAAATCCATCTTTATATCATAATTTTTTCATAGCTCCATATCTCCATCTTTAACATATATATAAAGTCTTGGCTCCCAAAAACTCTTTTACTTTGCATAGAATGCCCAAATTGTAGCAAAACCCTTTCAAAATATTTTTTTCTTGCAAAGGATTTTTTCTCCCCAAACTTTAGAAATTTATATTTCTTGATTCAACTATTCAATTTTTTTCAAATTTCTAGATAATGTAGAATCTATCCTTAAGCTTTACTACAAAAAAAAAAAAAATGAACTAAAAACTTACTATAGATTGTTTCGCATCTTAGAAATCCTAGCAGGTATTCTAAATCCTAATTTACAAGCACTTAAATACTATTTTCTCTATATTTCAAAAAACTAAACTTAAAATACTAAAAAATTTGTATATGAAGTTTAATAACATAATAAAACACATTCTTAAAAAAATTTAGTCAAAATCTTATCAAATTGCTTAAGATATAGCTCAAAATATAACTATTAGTAAATCGAGTCATTTACTGCTTTTAGATTGTAAGCAATGACTTCAATTTCTTATAACTCCTTTATCATAGTTTAGAATATATCAAGAAATATATAAAAAGTGTAGAAAAAGAAATACTCTCTTCAATTCCAATTGCAAATCCTTCATTGCTTTTTGTACTCATGTGTTGTGTCCAAAAGAATGACATTAGATATAAAATCAATACCTTAACTTTGAGCGCCTATATCTCTTTCATAAAACTCCAAATCACTAAAAATTTGTACCAAAATCATAGCCAAAATCCTAAATTTTGTGACCCTAGTCTCTTAAGTTCAAATTTCCTTGAAAGAGTAATCTTAATCCCTAATAAGACCTTGAGCAACCTCCTTAAAGCCCATTGGGCATGCCTTTTGGCTAATAGCAATGGAGATTTTCATCATCCATCTCCATTCATTCATATGGATGCCCTAATTATTCTTTTTGCTACTAAAATTCCTCTTAAATTCTTTTTTTTATAAGATTTACATAATACATGCCTTAAATACCAAATAAAAGAAAAAAAATAAGATTCTAAGGACCACCAATGTGTGATAAAGGTGGCTCTAAATATATTAAACTATTATTAATATAAAATCAACTTCAATAATAGCCCTTATAAATTAATTACTTCAAAGTAGTAATCTAATCATATTTTATGACTAACTAAAATTTAATAATGTAACTCTTATCACATTGTATAGTAAATTATACATTAAATATTTATGTGCATTATTTTCATATAGTAGTTGAACAATAATAAGACATCTACTCCTTCCAAACCTATGCATCCTCTAGTATCATATTACATAAAGCTTTACTTCTAACAGGATATAAATAAGATATTTATATAAGGATACATAATTAGAAACCATGAAATTTTTTAGAATTGGAATTAGCTTAGTAGACTAGGTAGGATCCACTATGGAATATTTTAGAAGGAGTTTAGGGTGATTATTTAGGTAGAGTCCACTATAGAACCTTCTAGAAGGAATTTAGGGTAGTTATCTAAGTGGGATCCACTACCTAGGAACATTCTAGAAAATCCAAGGTGATAGAATAAAATATAAATAGGACTAGCTAAGGCCTTTTGAGGCATCTCATTAGGTATGGCTTTAGAACCTTTCTCTTAATACAATTGGATTTTGTATCTTCCTATTTTATTGTGTTTTGTCTTAATTCTGGTTGCTTATTTTGTCTTTCGTATCTCATTCTATTAAGCTCTATTAAGTTTTGTTTTGATTTAGTTTGTCCTAATTTGTGATGAGATTTTATGTTGTTATAGATTAAAAAGATCTTAGACACTTAAAATAGATTGGTCTTGTTTCATTACTTGAGAATGTATTGAAGAATTGGTTGTAAAAGATAAAAGAAGTATTGTAACAATAAGATTTTAATTTTAATAGAATCCTAAATAAATCCAATTAAATTATAAAAATGCTAATGAAGCTCTAATAAAATCCAAAGAAACTTCAAAGAAATTAAAAAAAAAACATAAAAAATCATAAAAAAATCCAAAAAAAGTATTAAAATAAAATCTAACATATATCTTAAATAAATTCAAATTGAATCTTAATTTAATTTTAATTAAAATCTTAGTAGTCCTTATTTAAGTCCTAAGTCAAATTCTAACTAAATCCTAAAAAAATCCTAAATCTTAATCAATTCCTAAATCTCAAACCAAATCCTAATAAAATTAACTTAATCTTGAGGCAATTTAGAACTTCAATATCTATTAATTATACTATTGACATTGCTTAAGATTTTACACACCTTTCAACAACTAAGTTGGCAAAAAATACACAAAATTTGAAAAAGATCAAACTTACCAAATAGAAGATTAAACCTAAATTCTGCTTGAGAATTAGTTGGCCTCCTAATTTAATCTAAATATTGAGCTTTTAATTCCAATATCTCCTTTTTGAACCATTGAATTATTGAAATAAAAGTGAAAGAAGAATAAGTTACCTTGTAGAAGATATTATCATAGTAAATTGCTAATGGTCAAAAGGTGGACTCTTGGTGTATAGAAAAGACATCCTATGGATATAGGATAAGGTCAAGGACCAAGAGTCAAGATCAAGAGGATAAAGTATGAACTAAAGAATATTTATAGATTAAGTAAGAGTAATTAATATTTACCATTGGATACCTTTGTGGTTAATAAGATGCCAAATGATCCAAGGACCATAGGATACCCTCGAGGTACATTAGATACAAAAGGATCCTAGGATCAAAGATCTTGTATATAAAAGTCAAAAAGTAGAAGTTGTCTTGTAGGACAACAACCACAACTTACAAGTATTGGATGTTGGAAGTGAGAGACATCTTACTCCATGCTCTTTTTATGTACAACCTTGCTGATGTTATGTGTTGTGACTTCAAAGTTCTATTTCTTCAATAGGTTATGGGCCCACTCACCTTTAATTATGAATTTTGAAGTTCTTTGAAGTTTTTTGTTGTTATAAAGAGTAGATCTTATGATTGTTGCTAATGTTAGATTTTGGTATCTTCTAAATCTCTTTTTGCATCTAGTTGTTGATGAAGTTATGCTCTTACTTGTATTTAAGTGCATTCATGGTCTTGGAGATTGTTTTATATTTTAGAATGTTATTTTACAATACTAGTAGTGTGTTTTTTTACTGACCTATCTCATTGATATACTAACATTGAACTTTCATGTACTTAAGTTCCTAATAAATCTTCTTATAGTCAAAAGAGGTGTTATGAGACATTAGAAGTGAGAAAAGAGTGAAAAAGCTTGTAAGAGAGGTTTTCATATTATATAAGACTTGTGAGAAGTTTTATAAGTGAAGTTGAGAGTGATCAAAGAGTAAAATCACTACTTTACTCACAAAAAGGTTATTTTGGATTTCTAAGGTAGCAATACTTTCTTGTTGA